CGGTCTTCTTATCAGCTTTGTCAACAATGTAGGCAGAGGATCTATCAGCTTGCAGAAGTTGTTTTACAATTGAAGTACAACCAGAGAGTGCAGCGTAGTGAAGTGGGGTCCACCCTTGTTCGTCTGCTGCTACCGCCAAATCCTTTTTCTTCTCTAGTATTTCTTTGGTCATTTCTAAATTGTAAATAAAAATGAACGAAATAAAAATCAATACAAACTGGGTTACGCAACCGAACCAAGATGAACCAAGAGAGACATTCTAACAACCGAACCAACGTCGTTGGTGAGACGTCTTTTGGGAGTGACTTGTCCATAGGTTTTACTAACCGTGGTTGGTTCACCATCGGCTTGATTCATTTAGCTTTAGAAAGATCAAACCAATGGCTGCGAGAAAGCAAGTCAGAGAGGCAGATCCAAGTATAAATCTCCGGATCCGACCAGAGTCACCAGACCAAATATGAAGATAGATGAGAGAGAGTTGAAACAAAAGTAGGAGAATGTGAGAAGGAGAGAGAGTTTAGAGAAACAAAGGGATAGATTGAGATAAAGAGAGGGATGATGACTAAGGGATAGAGTGAGAGATAATGAGAGAGAGTGAACCAAAATAATAATAAAAATAGGAACCAAACCAGTCTGATCGGTTCTTCAGTGGAATTGCCCAACCTTAATACAAACTTTAAAAACAATGTATAATTGGAAAGTGAATAAAAAAGGAAAAGAAAATGTAAGTTTATATACTTTTATCACCGTAAATCACTGCAGCATGCAAAGCCGTTCTTCCATTGGGGCCTTGGTAATTTGGATTCGTGCAAGTGCTAAGAATTTGAGGGAACAAAACACCATATTTCCTCTCAGCAGCCAAATAAAGTGGAGTCTCCCCAGCATCATTAGCAGAGTAGGAAAAGTCAGGGTCTTCTTTGGTCAATATCTCCACCACACGAAAGTGATTAAATCGCACTGCAAAGTGCAAGGCTGTGTCCTTCTCCTTATTGGTTTCCCTTGTGAGCATCTGCCAGGCTTCTACTGTTGATGAGGGCCCATTCTCAAGGTCTTCACGAGGGCCAGCTTTTGCAGTTTTGATAAGAAGTTCAACTATATCAGCATGCCCATGTCTGGCCGCAATGTGTAAGACAGTATCGCCACTCTCGTTCTTCTGCGATAGCAGTGCTGGACACATTTTAAGGATTTCATCCACAATGCTGGGTGGCCTCAGCGCTTTTTCTTCTGGTTCGACGAAATTTGGGCCACTTGCAGAAGCTATATAAATATGGAGGACTGTGTTCTTGGTTGGAGTCAATATTTGGTCAAGATCGTGTCTCCTCTTGAGGACATCAGTTTTGCCTTCTTTTGCAGCGTTGAAAACATCAAGATCCATGCCCCTGGTCAAAACTGTGTTGTCTGTTGCAGCTTCCTGGTCAGTGGCATTGGCCAATGCTAATGGAGTACTACTCTCAGTCTCAGTCGAATGATCCATTTTGGGGCCGTTGGAAGTATCGGAAACTCTAAACCAATGACCCTTTTTGAGTGGATGTTGGGATATTAATAAGAAGATGAGATGAGTGGATGAAAGACGTTTAATTGATTAGCAGATGAGATGAGTGCAACCAAGCAAAAGTAGCCAGACAAATCCAGCAAAAACGACCAAGCGATAAAAGCCATCCAAAAGCTAGTAAAAGCCCAAGGGAGGGGAGAGGACAAAAGGTGAGATAATGCTCACGTGATTGCGACGTCAGTAGCAAATTTAAATAACAAGAAAAGTATTAAAAAAACCAAAATTTTTAGGATTTTTTTAAATAAATACCTAGCCATATTCTAGGAAACATAATACAAAGTCGTTTAAGAAACATAATTTATTATTGCACGAAATGAAAGCAAGCAAGTTGGCATTTCTTAACTCTTAGTCCCATTCGCATATAAAACAAAAAAAAAATCTCTTAGTCCCATATGCCAATCCAAAAAATTTCATGGAATTGCAAATTAGGTGAGCATCTGCCAGGCTTCTACTGTTGATGAGGGCCCATTCTCAAGGTCTTCACGAGGGCCAGCTTTTGCAGTTTTGATAAGAAGTTCAACTATATCAGCATGCCCATGTCTGGCCGCAATGTGTAAGACAGTATCGCCACTCTCGTTCTTCTGCGATAGCAGTGCTGGACACATTTTAAGGATTTCATCCACAATGCTGGGTGGCCTCAGCGCTTTTTCTTCTGGTTCGACGAAATTTGGGCCACTTGCAGAAGCTATATAAATATGGAGGACTGTGTTCTTGGTTGGAGTCAATATTTGGTCAAGATCGTGTCTCCTCTTGAGGACATCAGTTTTGCCTTCCTTTGCAGCGTTGAAAACATCAAGATCCATGCCCCTGATTAAAACTCTGTTGTCTGTTGCAGCTTCCTGGTCAGTGGCATTGGCCAATGCTAATGGAGTACTACTCTCAGTCTCAGTCGAATGATCCATTTTGGGGCCGTTGGAAGTATCGGAAACTCTAAACCAATGACCCTTTTTGAGTGGATGTTGGGATATTAATAAGAAGATGAGATGAGTGGATGAAAGACGTTTAATTGATTAGCAGATGAGATGAGTGCAACCAAGCAAAAGTAGCCAGACAAATCCAGCAAAAACGACCAAGCGATAAAAGCCATCCAAAAGCTAGTAAAAGCCCAAGGGAGGGGAGAGGACAAAAGGTGAGATAATGCTCACGTGATTGCGACGTCAGTAGCAAATTTAAATAACAAGAAAAGTATTAAAAAAACCAAAATTTTTAGGATTTTTTTAAATAAATACCTAGCCATATTCTAGGAAACATAATACAAAGTCGTTTAAGAAACATAATTTATTATTGCACGAAATGAAAGCAAGCAAGTTGGCATTTCTTAACTCTTAGTCCCATTCGCATATAAAACAAAAAAAAAATCTCTTAGTCCCATATGCCAATCCAAAAAATTTCATGGAATTGCAAATTAGTCCCTTGAAGATTCCTTTGGGTTTTTTCTTTTAATTTTTATAATTTACTTTATTTATTAAAATATGTTGTTATTTGCTTTAAAATGAGGTGCCAATACTAGCTCAATTGTGAAATTTTCTGCATTATAATATATGTTTTTCCATGTCTGAGAACTTAGAAGGGGTTAGAAAAAGAGCAACGCAGTCAAGGCCACTTTGGACTTGGTGTGAGCTCCGTCCGTCAATCAAATAGTCTGTCATGGTGCACAGTTTTCTTTCGGTTTAAAAAAATGAGGGCTACTACAACTGGTCATTGTTTCGACATGTACTGTGACACACAAGCAAGTTTAACATGATGATAGAACATTCAAGTTTTCTTTATTGAATGCTATCATATTAACCCTAGCATCTTGAAAGAAACGATTCATAAATTCAGTCATTTTAGAATTTTATGTAATTTTCAATTTCTTCGTTCAAATAGAATGAGTGAATTAAAACATAGGCTTAATTACATCAAAACAGAGCAGGAGGTACTAAAAATTGGTAACCGATATAATATAACTAAAATGCATTACAAATACAATGGGTGGTCCTCAAGTCAGAAGCGGCAATACACAACCTTCTTCTAAACATAACATCTACATGTCCTTTGAAAAAAAACAAAACAAAACAAAAGAAAAAAAGACCAATTTTAAAAGTACATTCGAAGAAGAAGAAGGGGGTTCAATTTATTGCCTTTATTTTCATACCATGTTTGTGTTTAAAAAGGTGGTGTCAAAATATTGCATAAGGGGGTTTGGGCTGGCTTCGGTTTGGGT